TTGGTTATTCTGTTATGAGCTTGTAGGAATTTAGCCTGTCTGAATTGAGCTTGAGCAGGGGGTTGGACTAGAAGACCTCAAGGGCCCCTTCCAGATTGGTTATTCTGTTATGAGCTTGTAGGAATTTAGCCTGTCTGAATTGAGCTTGAGCAGGGGGTTGGACTAGAGGACCTCAAGGGTCCCTTCCAGATTGGTTATTCTGTTATGAGCTTATAGGAATTTAGCCTGTCTGAATTGAGCTTGAGCAGGGGGTTGGACTAGAGGACCTCAAGGGTCCCTTCCAGATTGGTTATTCTGTTATGATGAGCTTGTAGGAATTTAGCCTGTCTGAATTGAGCTTGAGCAGGGGGTTGGACTAGAAGACCTCAAGGGTCCCTTCCAGATTGGTTATTCTGTTATGATGAGCTTGTAGGAATTTAGCCTGTCTGAATTGAGCTTGAGCAGGGGGTTGGACTAGAACAGGGCTTTTCAATCTTTTCACCCATTGTACCACTTTTAGGATATGGCAACATCTGAGGACCACCAGCAAGGTGTCAAAAACTTGATGACCCCCCCAAAAAAAGGAAAAAAGTGATAAAGTACAGGTAGTCCTCGACTTACAACAGTTCGCTTAGTGACTGTTCGAAGTTACAACGGCACTGAAAAAAGTGCCCCCCCCAAGCCACAGCCGAGCAAGACACCTGCCTACCCGCCTGGCCGCACTCTTCCTCCTGTCCGAGGTTTTCATTGTTGTGAGCATTTCTGTTGAGGATTGGCAGCGGGGGTGGGGTGGGGGGTGTTTGGTTTTTATTCCCCCCGTCTGCTGGGTGGTTGCAGCAGATTTTGGTCACTTCCCATGACCCTGGGACACTGGGACCGTCATAAATATGAAGCAGTTGCCAAGCATCTGAATGTAAATCGCAAGACCCTGGAGAGGCTGCAACATTCCAGCTGATCGGTATTTCTTCTGGGCTCAGCAGAAGCGCCAGGATCAGCGCCGAGCTCCAGCTGGAGCCCGGCGCTGATCCTGGCACTTCCGCTGAGCCCTGACAGCCCCGAAGAAGCGCCGATCAGCTGGAAAGCGGCACTGATCCTGGCGCTTCCGCTGAGCCCTGACAGCCCTGCAGCTCCAGCCGTCTCTCGCTCAGACTTGTGCGGTGCTGCCACCAGTTCAGCTCATTCCCCTCCCCCACTACCACTTTTCTAGGATGGTCACGTACCACCTGCCAGGTCCCAATGTACTACAGGTGGTACCCGTACCACTGGTTGAAAAGCCCTGGACTAGAAGATCTCATGGGTCCGTTCCAGCTTGATTATTCTGTTATCAGCTGGTTGAATGTCACCTGTCTGAATTTAGCCTGCTGGGGAATTCTGGTCGTTGAAGCCCACCGGTCTTAAAAGTTGAGAATCACCGCTCTAGTCTAGGCAAATGTCACATAAAGCAGTTTTGTGGGGTTTTTTTGACATTCAGCATCAAGGGATTTTTCTACCTGCATTGTTGATGGATTTTTTTTTTGTCCCCCCCTCCCTCTTCTCTCTCTCTCTCTCTCTGGCTAGGCTGTTCAGTCTGACCTTGAAGAAACTCATCATGCTGAAAGAGATGGATAAGGATCTCAGCTCCGTGGTGATCGCTGTCAAGCTGCAGGTAGGTCACGCGGAGGAGCAAGGACGTGGCAACCACACCGTGGCCTACCACAGCCACAAGAGTGACTCGCTCTGTGTCACTTAACAGCTGTCATGTGGCTGATTAACGTAACACTTAAAAGGACTTTCAGGCATATTTTTTCCTAAAAGCATTTATTAAGGTTACAGAGATGTTAGTACGGCATGGTGGAAATGCTTAGATCTGAGATTCTTTTCCGTTGCACATACATTCCAGGCATAATAAAGTTGGAAGGGACCTTGGAGGTCATCGAGTCCAACCCCTTGGCCAGGCAGGAACCCTACACCATTTCAGACAGACGGCTGTCCAGTTTTTAAGAAGAGACTGGACAGCTGTCTGTCTGAAATGGTGTAGGGTTCCTGCCTGGGCAGGGGGTTGGACTCGATGACCTCCAAGGTCCCTTCCAACTTTATTATTATTATTATTATTATTATTATTATTATTATTATTATTATTATTATTATTATTATTATTATTATTATTATTATTATTATTATTATTATTATTATTTTTCCCTCCCCTATTTTGGGGTCATGGTTCACATCTTCCAATTAACTTGGAAGATGTGATTTACTTCCCGTTTCTTTTTCCCGGGCTATCCCTATTCTCCTCCCTTTTTCCCTGTTGCCTGGTTTAACTATAAAAATACCAGACAGTTCTGCATATTGTCAAAGCAAGAATATACAGCATTTGCAGCGTTGACAACAGCAGTGGCCCAAATTGTGGAAACCTTTTGGGGAAAAGTGTATTTTTGAGGTTTTGGGTGTTTAATAACACCCCTCCCCCCCTTTTTTTGGAGCAGTACCATAAAATTATATATCAATGGAAAGATAATTTAATCACGAACGTAATGCAACATAGTTTGTTCAGTTATCTGTACTGTATATCCTATAAAAAGTTAAATAGCCAAATAACCAGAAAAAAGGAAGCACACCTTGCTTAGGTGGATCTCAGGTAGCTTTCCTTCATCTGATCGGAGCCAATGAGTGTGAGTGTTTAGAGAGCCAATCCAGGTGTCCTCTTGTTTTGGCTATGAGCCAATCGGATCACAGTAGGATCCAGTTATCGATGTCATATATTGAAGCCGAGCTGAGGACATTTGTCAGTGTTGTTGTGTGATCGCCATCAAGTTGGCTGGGGTTTTTTTTTTGTGTGTTCTTTCCTTGAGTGAGCTTGTAAAAAATAAAATTAAAAGTCACGGTGCAAAGAGTTGACTGGTCGCCCAGCAAGCGATGTAAAAGAGTATTGTTCAGTGAAAAAAGGCTACAGTTATAAAGGAATTAGAAGCAAAATGGGTGGAAACTTAACCAAAGGTGGCCTATCTGCTGTACACTTTTCCCAAAAGGTTTCCACCATTTTGGCCACTACTGTAAGGCCCATCTTCTCCCAAGAGGGAAAGGGCAAATAGCAAAAGCACTTAGACTGATATACCAGTTTGAATTATTTTGCGCGAAAACAGCATAGGAAAAATTCCCCTTTTTTCTCCCCCTGGACCTGCCACTGTCCATTTGTCCGCCATTCATCGGTCTGTCGACCTCGGACTTCCTCAGCCGATGACCTTAAGGGATCGGGTCTCTCTCAGGCTTCCAGGCACCCCAAATTTCCCTCCCAAACCTCCCTTACTTTCCCGTGCCTTCCCTCCCCGCCTCCCGTTTACCGTTGTCTGCTTGCAAGCGGGGCTGAGTAGCGAGTCCGCCATGACCCTCCCCGCCATCTGCTCTTTGCGGGCTGGGATCCCAGCTCGGATCCCTCCGCCTCTCCCAGCAGCGGACCAACTGACCCACCCATGCCTCTTGCAGGGTTCAAAGCGGATCTTGAGGTCCAACGAGATCCTTCTGCCCATCAGCGGACTCGTCGAAACGGAACTTCAGTTGACTTTCTCCTTACAGGTAAGGGCGCTTGAGCGGGATCCCGGCGTTTTGCAAAACTCGGGGGTCCGAAAATGCGCCAATCAAGAAGGACACGTATAGCTCAGGGTTGACATGAGGGGTCCTTGGTGCTCTCTGAGCTTGGTTGTTTCCTTGCAGACGTTTCATGACCCAACTAGGGAACGTCGTCAGTGCTAGTAAGGATATGTGCAGCAAACTCCCCTCTCTCCTTGCACTGATGAGGTTACCTAGTTGGGAAATGAAACGTCTGCAAGAAAACAACCCAGCTCAGAGAGCACCCAGGACTCCACGGTTTTCTTCTTCTTCCAGCATCCTCTGTTCTCTTCTTTTCTTTTTTTATAATCTTTTCTTCCCCTGCCTTTCTTTCCCGCAGTACCCTCACTTCCT